AGACTGTAACTGTACTGTCTGTCTTCTGCAGGAGATCTTCCAAGTAAAGGTCATGTGTGTGTCAACAGAGTAGAGTATTGGCATACAGTATATACTAAACAAATATTTAGAAAGGAGGGAGCGCTGAGCTGCCAGCCTAACTCTAGTGTATTGGAGAGGACTAGCAGAGTGAAGTCTTTTTTATTCTGTAGGGAGCAAGGATGGCAGAATAGGCTTGGACAGTTCCAAACATGAAACAAGGGAAAATACTATCATTCTTACTGAACACCTTTATGGTGATTCGTGCCCTTTTTGTAATTAGCTGAGGTTGTTAACTGTGGGTGGGATCTATGGTGTTGGAATAGAATGGGCATTACCTATGATGCTCAGCTAATTTCCATACAGCTGTGGGAATACATGGGATCACCCTTAAATTTCTTCAACAAAGCTAAAGTGAGTTTCCGTTGTTGGTCCTGTCTTTAAGGCAGATACCTGCTTTGACTAAAACTGCCTTTCAATCCTTGCCAGAGAAACAAGTATCCTGTTATATTAATAAAATAATTATTTTAAGTTGAGAAAAAGATAGTATAAAAATATAGGAATGAAAATACTTAACTAATTGTTTCTTTGGACGAAAATTGTTAGATAATTGTTTTCTGATTGAAATTTTAGCTTTTCATTGTAGAAATTTAAGAATTTTTACATTTGACTTTCAAAAAATGAACATTTCATGATCATGAGATTCTACAGTTTTCTCTTAATTTTTAATCTAGATTTTTTTCTAAATCCAGGTTTTAAAATTCTGTGCATTTTTGACCTTTAAGTAAATTAAAGAATTCTTAGAATGAGACTGTTGACTGCAATGAAAGAAGGCCTCTTTGCTTCCTAACTAATGAATTCATTTCTGGGATTACACTGATGCTTGGTTGATATCATAAAGTTATAAAAATGTTATTCTAATCTATAAGAAAGATTTTCAGGATTTTCATGTTTTTTTAAAAAAAATCTGAGAACACCCCCACACAAGGATATTTATCCTTTACTAGCAGAAAGAATCAACAAATGGGCTCTCATCTTATTAAAAAGCTTCTGCACTGCAAAAGAAACCATCAACAGAAGAATATTTATTCTTTAATTCTGTCAAGCTACAAACCATGCTTAGAATTATGGACTCCTCAAAATAACTGTGGCACCAGAAATTTTGTCTGAAATAGCCCAGTATTTTTGACAACTATAATTGGAAACGAAAAGCTGCTACTGTCCCATCTAACAAGAACTGTGAGATTTTTAAAAATTGGATGCATATTTTCAACACTGTTTTATGTGTATAGTTGATGTCACACTTTGATATACTTAGGGTAAAAGAAAAACATCATTTTATTTGGACTCAGGGTAATAGGATTAAGGGCAGTTACTTCAACATAGTATAGTAATACACTCAAGTAGTTGGAATAAATCCAGACTTTGATGAGTACTTTTATTTGGCCTAGGAAAAAGTAGACTGTTTCAGAGTATTTTTAGCTTTTTTGGGATAAAAAGGTAGCTAGCTAATGTTAATAGAAGAGGCCTAAGACATGTTTCTGTTTTGGGGGTTTTTTGTGTTTGATTGTTTTGGCTGTTTGTGTCCATAAGCTGGAGTAGTGGTCTTCTCTGTAAGGATGCCATTCGGATTGTAACCATGGTAACCACAGGACATGGACCTCTGTATCTGTGCTTCAGCTTCCCATAGGGAACAATAAAAGTGCAGCTTTGTAGGTGAGTTACATTTAATGAAATTAATGATTTAAAAAATATCACTGAGCATTTTTGCCCTCACAGGTACTGTGGTAAAGTACTTTGACACATACTGTCTCCCTTAATTCTCCCAGTCCCTTGTAATACCAGTGTTTTGTAGTGCAGGATAGTAAGTCTCAGAGAGGTTAAGGAACTTGTTTACAATTGCCCAGCAGATAAACAGATGAGCTCATCTAGAACTTGAGCTCCTACCCACTGTGCCTAGAAAACATTACTAGGCCTGGTCAGGAGAAGAGCTCAGTAAATAGAATCTCTAATTCTATCATAGAACACCTGGGGCTGAAGCGGCTTCACTACAAAACAGATTGAATATTTTTATAGCAGTCCCAAAACATTATCCTATCCATATTCCTGTTCTTTTTCTTTTGTTGTATACAGCTGCTGGGAAAGAAGGTGTATGGATGCAATTGTTACAGCCCTTCTCTTCGTTTTCCTATAATTATTTAAGAACAAGAAATCCTTAATACCTCTGATTGAAGTCTATAGAGGATCTCATGTTGTATTTAACAGATCTCGATTCTGGTTTCACAGATATTTACTGACTTAATTTGTGTCACAGTGATTAGTTTCAGAGATCTGTAAAAGGAATAGGCTAAGCACAACTACTGATGCCAGTTATAAGTGAAAACAGCTCCGAAGAGGAGTGTACCAGTTTGCTATGGCAGCTCTAACCAAGTACCACAGACTGATGGTTTAAATGTATTGACCCATAGTTCTGCAGGCTAGAGCGATAGATCGGGGTCACTTCCATCTGTGGGCCACTTGAGTCTGTTCGTAGTTCTCACCCAGGTCCTTGTTACTTGCTGGCAGTCTTTGGGGTTTCTCGGTTTATAAAACCCTCACCTGATCTGTCTCTTTGGGTTTATGTGGTGTGCTCCGTGTGTGTCTCCAATTTTCCCTTTTTGTAAGGCTACCATGAGCTTTTGATGGCTTATTTTAACGTGATGATCTCTGAAGACTCTCAAGTCATATTTTGAAGTACTGAGGGTTAAGAGTTAAGCCAAAGTAGTTGGGGGTCACACAGTTCAACCTTTACACTGAGCACCAACAGCTGTGTCACATGTACCCTTTGCCTAGTGGCACCAACCCTCACTTCACTGGCTGAAGTATTATACATAGTATGTCTGGTTTATTGAGTAAGTTCTATTTAGCAGGGTGCAGTTGCTGGCCAGAATATTGTCAAAATAATTAAGTTCTACAGTATTTGAAATTGGAATTCCCCTTTGTCAGCCCAGTTTGCTTACAGCTTGCAGTGGGAGAGCTGACACTGTTGACCTCCTTGTTCTGGTCTTTCCCCTTCATCTTCTGCTTGGCTGGACCCCCGTAAGGAGGGGCTTAAGAGAAAAAAGCCAATAGGGTGATGGTCGGCAGTGGTGTAGTTGTCTTTGGCAGGCTCTTGGCAGAGTGCAGAGTCCCATGCTGAAGCCTCCTGCCCTATCCTAAAAATCTCATGCAGGGGAGATGAGTAGCCTCTGTATGTGTGTGAAATCCAAAAGCAGCATTGTATTGTTTTACTCTACAAGGATCACTGTGTATAAAGAGGTAGAATATAATTGCTGGCTCTTTGCAGTGTTTAATTTTATTACAACAGAATTCGTTCAGCAGTTTGTGATTATTCTAGTGCTTACAGTATTCCCTTAGAGAACATTCAGAATTGAACACAAGACTAGTTTTAAATATGGTAGCTACTTGGATAATTATATTTGTCTATGTAGTGTAGTATAGAGGTATTAATTCCTGTGGCCTTTTTAAAGTCAGTGGAGGAGACCTAATGTTGAAGGAATGGAGTAGGAATCTGAGTATAGTAAAAGCTCGCAGGCAGAGAAACAACACTATTACAACTAGCCTATACATTTAGGTTAGAATACTGAAATCTTTCAAAAATAATAACCCAGGTGTGGTGGCAATATGCCTGTAATTCCAGCTACTCAGGATGCTGAGGCAGAATTGTGAGTTCCAGGCCAGACTGAGCAATTTAGTGAGAGCCTATCTTAAAATTTTTAAAGGATTAGGCGTTGAAGTTCAATGGCAGAGAGCTTGCTTAGCATGTGTAAGGCTCTGGATTCAATTCCCAGCATAAGGGACAAAGGGGAAAAAGTGAAGGAGGGACAAGGGAGGAAAAGGAAAAGGAAAGAAATCCAAAATAGTTATGGAAGGCAGGACAATAATATATGAAATAATCACTTTTGGTCCACAGCAGCAGCACTATAGGGAACATGAGCGCATTGGTGCTGAGGAAAAGGAGAGAATGGCAGGCTTAATAGTTACTTTTTTTTTTAGGTTTACTATTTGGGAATACATAGGTGCAGAGAAACAATGAACCTGAAATAAATTAACTATAAATTGTGGACCTTTGAAAAAAGACACAGTATTGTTAACTTAGAAAGGTTTACTTCTGGTCACATGATTTGTTATATGCCCTCTTCCCCTAAAAGGCGAACTTTTACTTGAGTGAGAAAATAACTTATTGTTGAGTGTTGACATAATCAATACCTATCCCTTTTATTGTGTACTTAATTTTATCACAGCAAAAGAAAAAATTCAGTTTAATGTAGGAGCTGTTGTTTACATGTTTATTTTAAAGCATCACTAATGATTCTCCCATGTAAAACTGGCCTTGGGATTTCTAGACCTTTCAGAAATATATCCTTCCCACCATGGAAAAATTCTTTGATGGCATTTCATCTTCTAATCCATTATGGGAGTCTTTTTTTTTTTTTTTACCCTTATAAAGAGTAATTTATGCATGCATTTATCCTACTGGGGAGGGATCAAGGTTAGAATCATTTAACTGTAAGTTATCTTCAGAGTCCTTGGAAATGTGGCAGAGAAGCTTGAAATTTAGAAACTTTCTAGGCTCATAGGTTTATTCATTCATTTAACAAATACTTGTTGAAAACCTGTAATGTAACATGAAGTATGGTAAGATGTTCGGACACAGCTGATTTAAGATACTGCCCTTGCACTGAAGGAATGCAATCCTCTGGGTTTAATCTTTACTTTTTCACAGAAATTCCTAGCTTTATATAAGTTTGGTTTAGTTTCTGTTGAATATCTTACTGGCTTGAGATATTATAATTGCAGTGTAGTGCAAAGCCTTCGCGGACTAAATTATGTTTCATACTGCTATGTTTGTTACACTCCCTCTGTGTGAAAAGTCTCAGTACAGTGGGATCTTTTACCCTAAAGCATAGCACCAGTTTTAATATTTCTTGACATCCTTGCAGAGACTGTACCTTCCAGCAATACAAGCAAATCCAGCAATACAAGCAGCAGCACCGTGAAACCATTAACTACAATATCCGTAGTCTCAATCAACGTGACAGCTGTCACCAGGAAATCTACTTCTAAAATGGCAACACCAGGAGTCTCAACCAGTACAACGCCCACCACCTCAAAGTCTACACCTAAAGGAACGAGTATTTCCCACAACATATCCCATATGTCAACACCCACGATGACCACAACCCACAGTAGTTCAGTGACACTGCTAACAAGTATGTATTAAAGTCAACCTGCTTTTCGGGTGCTACAAATAAGTTGTTAAATGACACATCATTCTATTCTGCAAAAATAAATATAGAAACTTTTCTGTGCCTAAATTTTTCTCATTCCACATCAATGTCCTTTCATAGAAATCCTGGAAATTATAGTTACTGTTTTTTGTGGGTTGTTTTGTTTTTAAGCACTAATACTAGTTGTGTTTTCTTCTGGTCACAGCAACTGTTCATTCTAAAGAATACAGAGGATCAAAATTTGATACTGGCAGCTTTGTTGGTGGTATTGTATTGACACTGGGAGTTTTATCTATTCTTTACATTGGATGCAAAATGTATTATTCAAGAAGAGGCATTCGGTACAGAACCATGTAAGTTTTTCATGTTTTTTCCCTATATTTATTCTTAGTGCATGTTCACTTTACAAAGTAAGAGTTTTACTGTGGTATTTTCATACATGCATATGACATACTTTGATCATAGCCACCCTCCCCACAATCCCCTCCCCTCCTATGATTCCTTTCCTCTTGCTAATAGTCTCCCTTCTACTTTGTCATCTTTTCTTCCCAGCTTCCACATATTAGGGAAAATGTATGACATTTGTCTGAATCTGGCTTATTTTATTTACTTAACATATTTATCAACAATTCATCCATTTTCTTGCAAATGACATTTCATCCTTTATGGCTGAATAATACTCCATTGTAGATACATTTTCCATTCATTTGTTTCCTTTATTCACCTGTTTGTGGGCTATCATGAATTATGTGTGCCTCAGTTTAAGCATGCTAGTATCTCTGCAGTATGCTGATGTTAGGTATATACTGAGGAGTGGTTTAGCTAGGTCATGTGGTATTTCTTAGTTATTTGAAGAATTTCCATAGTTTTCCAGTGGTTATACAAATTTACATTCCCACCTACAATGTAGAAAGGCTACTACCCCCAACCCCCTGAATACCTCACCAGCATTGATTTGCATTCCCCTGAAGGCTGAGGATGTTGAATATTTTCATATACTTATTGGCCATTATTTCTTTTGAGAATTGTCTGTTCCATTCATTTTTCTATTGATTGGATTATTGTGCCTGAATAATAAATTTAGTTCTTTATATATTCTAGATAGCCTCTGTAGGTGGCAAAAAATTCCTCCAAGTCTATGATTTTTTTTCTTTACTCTCTTGTTCTCTTGGCTGTGTAAAGCTTTTTAATTGGATATAATCGCATTTGATGATTCTTGCTATTTCCTTAGTGGCCTCCTGTTAAGGAAGTCAGTGCCTGTGACTATATTTTGAAGTATTTCCCTTATGTTTTCATGTACCAATTTCAAGGTTTCAGGTCTTGTATTTAGGTCTTTGATCCATTTTGAATTGATTTTTACATAGGTGAGAAAGGGATCTATTTTTTAACATGTAAGTTTTGATCATCCATGTGTATTTTTAATTACGATAAAATATCAGAGTCAGACCAGTGTTTGTCAAGGATAGATTTATGAAATATGCTCCTGTTAACCTCTACCCAAAATAAATTGTTCATGTAAAGGCTTGTGATTATATTTGCAAATGAAATGGATGTATGTATCCATAAAAACGTGTTTTACTACCGTCAAACATTTTTTCCTATGGTGATTAATAGTAGTATATCCACTTTCATTCACCTAGTGACTTACTATGTCTTGTGTCAATATGTACTTGGTAAGAATATGATTTAAATTTTTATGACAGAGACATAGAAACTAAAACTCTCTGGCAGTTTCATTTCCCCTGATAATTTGAGTAAATAGTACAAATAGTTATCTTTTAGACGAATTTTACAAGCTTCAATCTACAATCGTATTTACCCTACGTACAGTTCTATAGGTCTTATGGCTTTTGGGTAGATTATCTCCCAACTTTTCTTGCTTCAGTTGTCTGTCTGTTTAGGTGCTAGAGATTAAGTCCAGGGCCTTATACTTGCCAGGCAGGCAAGTATTCTATTGCTAAGCTGTGGTACACTGTGAGCCCAGTCTTGATTTTTGTCTTTTGAATCTTATATGCTACCTTAGTTCAAACTGTGACAACCACAGATTGGGTGCCTTAAAACAGTTTTTTCATTAAGTTTATTGGTACATTTTAGGTATACATTATGATGACATTCTAAATTGTGAATTTGTATCTATACATGACATATCTTGGTTCTTATTTTTTCCCCCAGATTCCCCTGCCCTTCCTTCAACCCCTACCCCCTTCCTATTTACAAAGATTTTGTTTCCATTTTTTCCTTCTTTTCTTCCCCTTTGGACCTTTTCTTCCTATTTCACGTTGTGTATTACATATTTTGGTCCTCATTTGCACTTTCAGTTTCTCACACCAAAGAAACAATTTTCCCACAGTTCTGGAGGCTTAGAATCCAGGTTTCGCTTCTGTGAGGGCTGTCTTCCAGGCTGCAGACTGCTGGCTTTTCATTGTATTCCTCTCAGGTGCTAGCTGCCTGACCCCTTCTTAGAAGGGCACCTATCTCTTTAATGAGGGTAGAACCCTAATGAAATTACCTCCCACCTACAAATGTCATACTGGAATTAGAGTTGAAACATAGGAATTTGCAATGGACATTTCATCCACTGCATCTGTACAAAATGCCAGTTATTGTTTTGATAACGTGTATAGTATCATAGAATAGGTAACTGTTTTCCAGAATTTGTTCTGTGGGTTAACAATTGTTGTACCCATATAAAAATTTTTAGGAAATGTTGGACTGAATAAAGAAAAACAGGTTACTCCAAGACATCAGTATGCTGATGTCCATTTTTAACTTCAAAGAGGAAATACAGTATGGAATATTTCTCAAATTTTTCATTTAAGTATTTATCGAATGAATTAATCTTTTTATTCTGAAGTTATCTAAAGAAACTGGTATTGTATGGAACACAATGGCATATAGTCTATTGAAAGGATTTTCCATTTTTTGACCTTAGGTATGATTTAGTACTTACAAAAGCAAATCAGACTTCGTAGTACCTTAAATATATATTAACAGGTACTAAATAATAACATGGCAATTTCTGAAATTTTCAATGCACTGACATAAGCCTCTAAGTGAACATATTATAGAGGAAAATGGACTCTAGAAACTTCATGCTAATAATAGGCATCTTATTTTCATATTGAAGTCCTTAGTGGTAAAAATAAAATACCACATTTATTCAAGTGTACTTCCCCCTTTTGTGCATTTTTTCATATTCTGAACTCTGAAATTAGAATGTATCTTACAGTCTGTTAGCAGAGAAAGCACTGCATTGTAAATTTAGTTGGCTGTTATTTTAGTGCTACATTCTTTTTTTAAAGTTCATTCTAAAGCCCCTCTTTTTTTTTTTTTTTTTAAGCTATAAAAAATGGCATCCCATAGGTCAGGGCTTAATTGTACCATTAAATAAATTGAGATCATCGATATTAAAGAGTACTTCTAAGTTTCATTTAGGTGGGCAATATCACTGATTAAGACTTTAGCTCCTTTTGTTTCTTGGATTTGCATTGAGAGAGATGGAATGGAATGGTAAAAGATGGGACTGGAAGAAGACAAACTTAGCTGTGTGTGTATATGTAGTTTTAAAATTATTTTAAGAACATTTAACATGAGATCAACCCTCCTAAAACTTAAGTACATGTATTTACAGAGTTAGTCTAGAGCGATACTTTATACCCACTGAAGAGCATTTCCTTGCCCTCCCCAGTCTCAGACATACTTTGAGTCTGGTTCTGTCTGTGTCTAGCAGGATGCTTTGCTATGCTTATTATGTAAATGAGGTGGCATAGTGTGGTTAAGAGCTCAGGCACTGAAGACAGAGAGTGTTCTGGAGCCTTCCCAGCAAGGGCAAGGATCTGAGTTTGATACCCAATACAAAAAAAAAAAAAAA